GAGAGAGAGAGAGAGAGAGAGAGAGAGAGAGCTGTTACGAATTGTGCTTATTTTGCTTAACCTGTCCAGACTCCACAGGACACCATCTGGGATTCCTGCCCCGATAAAAGGTACCGCATGTATCCTTGGGTCGGGAGCTCAAACATGAAATACCTGCCCTGTTTAATCAATCGATCTGTTTCAGACGGAAATAACATCAAAACCTAAAACAATAAAAGAACGAACGGCGATCTCTTTTCAAGACAAAAGTAGTTTTATTCAAAGAACACTAACCAAAAGGCACCGGTTGCTTCTTGCGTCAGCAAACAAAATGGATTTAATTCTTTTTAATAACGAGTTTTGGCAATGAACAAGTGAAGTAATGATTCTCCGTGTTGATACTAGGGACCAGCCCTATGGGACTTGGCCGTAACATTCAAATACACATCTTTCAATTCTTTCGCGGACGTAGAAAAGATGCATCAGCAGTGAGATGTATACTGAAACTCACTTATCTCATTTCCGAAGGCCATGTATATTTTGTTACGGCTACATTTCATCGGTTCGTCCTTGGGTTCGTTTTACTATGTCATCTCTATGGTGCAGGGGTGGGACTTCTTGATAAGGAATATTATGTGAAAGGGAGAAACGTTAATGGAAGAAGGGGTGTTTTATAATGAAGAAAAAACAAGCAAACAAACAACCTATATTAAATCCATCCCTTCCATCATTCTGAAGGTCATGTAATCATTAAAGAAATTGGAACTGGACCTAGGCCTGTTTACCCTCGCCATAGCAATAGGCCCCACTGCTGCTGCAGGCGAAGCCATAGCATTTGCTGGGCTGTTGACTATAGCATTCCCTGGAGTACCCATCGTACTAGCGTACGGATTAGCTGGCATTGCTTGTTTGACTGCAGAGGGAGCAACCTGATTGGTCGAGACTTGTGGAAGAAGAGCAGCAGTGCTTGGAGGAAAAGGAACAGCGTTGCTTGGAGGAAGAGGAACGGCGTTGCTGGGAGGGAATGAGAGACCAACAGGAGCTCCCATCGTTCCAAGAGGAGGAGAGCTCACAGTTCCCGTGGGCGGGGGAGAGCCCATAGCTCCCATGGGTGGCATGCCCATGGCCTCCAGAGGCAAAGTGCCCATGGCGCCCGTAGGCGGAGACATGCCGTACATATATGATGGTGGCATCCCTCCCATATCGCCAAATCCGCCCATCGGGTTGTAGCCTCCTCCGTAGCGGCTGCCGCCCCCGCCCCCGTCCATGTCCAGCATGTCAGCGCCAACCGTGGTACGGAAAATAGCCTTGGTCGTGGGGTCCATACCCTGGGTGGCCATATCCATCAGGTACCTGTTGAGGACTGGGGGCAGAAATAAATTAATACTTGAAACCTCTTACGGCTTCTAAACGAATGTAAAATGAGACAGGGCACGATTAGACATAACATTTAAGTTTTAAAAAGAGGATAAAATCAGTGAATGGAATTTTTTTCATGTACGGGATGTCAGGAAAAGGTAAAGTTCACAATGCAAACAGTTTTGTTAACGCAATTTTTTGTTGTTACAGCGGAGAATCTTTTCCCAAGGGCCACTGCATTTTGCTCAAGGACACATCCCAAGGACCGTCGTTGTAAAACATTGTCACTAACATCGTTTCTACAGGAGTAAAACAAGATAACCCTTGATAAGTTTAAACTAAAGTACATTTTAGAGTGTTTTTCTAGTTAAAAAACAATTAATAATAAGAGTGTTAAACTTGTTTATTGGTTTGCACACGTTTTTTGAATGCATGTATTATTATGAATGAAGAGAAACACGTCCTCAAGGTGATGATCATTTGGTGATAGGAAAAAGCAAGATAGGCAGACAGAAATAAATGAGAGAAATGAAATGATAGGACCTACCGGTGGCGCCCTTCAACAATCGACTGCTGCTAAATGCAGCTTGATAGGCCACTTTGAATTTTAAAAAGAGGAGAAGGAAAGCTACAGAAAGTAGAAGCGTAGTTATCCTACAATAGCATCTGAGAATAACGTTCTACTGAAACAGTCTGCAGTGAAAGAAGTTGGATCTCCTGATGATATGCAGAAGGCATTTATTTACGCCCAAACAAATTGTGGCGAGATAAATAAGACCATATAAAATAGTTCAGTCTTCAGACAATAGGCTATTAATATGTATTTAACAGTGCTCAGTAAATTAGCAGAAGAGGTCACACCCATGAACCAAGGAATTCTACGTGAAGAAGGGAGGGGACATGGCTACCAAAGCACGCATGAGACACCTGGAAAAAAACCCGCAATAGCACAACAGATTATTTCCTTGAAAATGGTATTTCCTCCTGCTTATTGCCCCCACTAACTACATATTTCAGGTTTTAAACTGTGACAGAAAAAGCACCAACGCTATCGTAGATTGTGATTGAACAGTGCTCAGTAGGCCTCACAATTATGCGAGTATCACAAGGCATCTGGGCGCTATAATACAGCGTATAATGCAGATTATTTCAGTATGACAGAAATATTGTACTGTACTTTGAGTTTTCTCCAGGGTGATTCTTTTCAAATTTCAGTTATAATACCATACTAAACAAAACATAAATAATTTCAAAGGTGGAGCGTGTAGACCCTTGCAACGACATTCAGCTGATGGAAAATGTTTTTAAAAAGTCGATAAATATACATGTATTCTAATTTAACTCTTTTACCATTCTAGCCTGTCGACCTCTGTCTTGCCAAACGATTTTGTAAACTGCTGTGTTACAGCATCCACTGCCAACACGTCTGGACACACTACACAATATCATGATTATAACAATATAAGAAAATAATATTGTGTGGTACTTACTGTTGGCCGAGGAGGCGGAAAAACACAAGCACAGCAGGATCAGATACTCCATGACTACGGAAGATCTTGTTGACAATCTGAAAATACAGTGTCATGATGATTTCATTCAGAATAGAAAGAAATCCACCACCTCCAAAACTCAAACTACCCCCAACTAACTTGACCCCGCCCCTAATCTAGAGTATAATTTTTAATCAGACCGTATTATTCATTGAATCGGATCGTACGGAACGGTGTGGTTGTACTATACGAAATGCAATTCAGTAGCACCGTATTCAAACGTATACATGTCAGAACTTATATTGATCCCAGCACTGTCATCTTTAAACGAAACACTTTTCTTTTAAACCTATGCTTCTATTTCAATATAATTATTTTAGAGCCAACGAGCAAAACCTTTCATTGCCTATAAGAAGCCTATCTGATCGTAAAAGGCAGGTCATTTTAATAAAAGCGCAGTGACATTGACGAACCCCCCCCCCCCCCAACATACTTATTGAATACATGTATAACATCTAAGTGTAGATATAATAACTACATTCCCAGTAATAACAATCATTAATAACCTATACTTTAAAAAGTGATGGGTCAAAGAGTTAAAATATAGGGAGATAAAGACGTCTTTTGAAATAGTTTCAACCCCCGCCCCCCCACCCAAATAAAAAAAAGGTTAACGGTTCACGTTCTATTCAGAAATTTATACAACTTTCACTTGACTCTCAGTGTAATAACTCAGAGTCAGTCTTTAGAAAAATGGATACAACGCTCTAACCGCAGCTCGACCAGTAGAAAGTTTTTGTTTGTTTGTTTTGGTAAGTGTTTTTACGGCGCTCCCAACTGCATAAGGTCATATGAGCGCGCGGGACACACCTAATATTTTCAGTTGGTAGGACATTTTGCATTTTGCCCAGGTGGCGGCGGAAGCCTACTCTTATCGATTTTAGACCTCCAAGGGATCTTTAACGTGCGCAACTTGCAC